GTACGTCTATAACAATATATGTGTATATGTATCTATACGTATATTTTGTATTTAGGTTTATATGTATGTATTTGTGAATGTTTGTACTTGTGTATGTATGAACCCGTTTTGATGAACAAGCCATGGTTAGGCATGGTTTGCGTATGTATGTATGTGTGTGTATGTATTATTAGAGAATTATTAGAGACATTATATTCTAGCGACCTTTCAAACTTCTCAAAGACGTATGTACGTGTGTATAAATGTATGTGTGTGTGTGTGTGTTTGTGTGTGTGTCCGTGTGCGCAAGCAACCATACCAATAATTTAAACATTGTATCATTATTATTAACGTTTCTGCAGCTGAATTAGCAAGTCCATATATGTTGAAGGTCAGAGTGAATGAATGAATGAATGAATAAGTGAGAGAGTAAATGAATGAATGAATGAATGAATGAATGCATTAGTGAATAAGTGTCTAAGTGAATGATTGAATGAATCAACGAGCGAATGTGTGAACTAATGAGTGAAGAGATTAGTTGAAAGACGAATGAATGAATGAATGTTTAAAAATGAATGAATAAACGAGTGAATGACTGAGCCAACAGATAGAATTAGCGTAGTGAATGAATAAATAAACGAGCATACACCCATTCATCCGTTCGTTCATTAGTTAGTCAGTAAAAACATCACAAAAGAAACAAACTGGTAAAACATCAAAAGCTATTTAGTTATAGTAACAAAATAATAATAATAACAACAACAACGACGGCAACAACATTAATGTCAAAATCAAGAAGAATGAATAATAATAATAACAACAAGGGGAACAGAGACACAACACATATATATGGCCTGATATATTTTAAAATCTTCAACTAACTTAAACACACACAAATAGCCAGTTAGTGGATAGACTGAAGGAACAAATAAAAATAAATAAATGATAGATTAAACATAATAATCAATACTAAAACGCATAAAAGAGACAAACTAACAAAACGAACGAACGAACGAATATATAAAAATCATTGTATACTACAATATATATATACGTGAAACATTAATTAATTCATAATACGCTGGGGAATTGAATGAGTGAATTAATGAATGAATGAACGAACGAACGAACGAAAGAATGAAAAAATGAATAAGTAAATGAATGAATATATATATATGTGAAATATTAATTAATTCATAATACGCTGGGGGATTGAATGAGTGAATTAATGAATGAACGAAAGAATGAAAAAATGAATAAGTAAATGAATGAAAGCCTCGTGTGTTTGAGTGGATGAACGATGAACGATAGAATAACTGGATGGCTTATTTATATGTGTGTGAGTGTGTGCGTGTATGCGTGTTGAAGTGTGTGACGTGAGGATGGCGTGGTCTTGCGCCGTGTGAACCATGAGAGGTGTAATTAGTTTATACCCTGTTGCTCAGATTTCAGAATAGGTTGCAACAAAATTGCGCTTACTCACTCAGAAGCATAAATAACCATATTTACACACGCACGTACGCACACAAGCATACGCATATTCATACATACATACATACATACATACATGCATGCATACATACATACATACATACATACATACATACATACATACATACATACACATACATACATACATACATACATACATACATACATACACATACATACATACACACATACAAACATACAAACAAACAATACAATACAAAGTCACACACACACGCACACATGCATATACAAATGCAAGCAGTATATCTAATGCGACTTAATGTTTACTTTAAATCGAGAAAATACAAATGACATGACGAACATGGGTTAACGCAACAAACAACAACACCAACAACATTAAAGAAACACATCATCATTGAGAAACACACTCGTATACACAAAATTTTATACTGACACAAACACACACACACACACACAAAGACGCACACATATATATAAATATATACCTTCAAGCCACGTATAAATAGAACATTACATTGTTAAATAATTTGCACAAATATAATATATGAATATAAATATATATAAATATATATATATATATATATATATATATACACTTATATACAAATTTATACATACGTATATAAGCAATGTATAAACGAGATAGAGAGAAAGGAAAAAAGAGAAACGCAAGCAGAGTGACCGTGTAAACCATTATTAATACGCATCGCACAGAAATTAACATAAATTTGAATAAATTATAACAACACGTTAATAGGAAAAAATGTTTTAATAGCGTTAATAAGCAACCGCAATGACATTAATGAGAAAACTCCTGGTAACAGCAATCAACCATTACAACAACTTGAATAACAATAATAATAACAACAAAATTGTTATTAACGTTGTCGTTATTATTCTTATTATTATTATTACCGTTTATGAAGACGACGATGATGAATAACAGTCAAAAAAAAGAATCCCATCAGAATAATTAAAACCGCTGTTTACTATTTATACTTTTATAAAAATTAATATTAATTAACTTTATTCAGAGAGAGAGAGAGTTAGAGAGAGAGAGAAAATGTCAATTAGCTAATTAAATATTCAAATTTATTCATATGTGACATCCAATGAAAATGTGTCTTGCAACTGTCCATAAATTAATTTTATATATATATATATATATATATATAATTTTTATTACATTTTATCAAAAAATTCAACGACAAACTGACAAATAATTAATTATATATAAACTGTTTTAGTTGAAACTAAATGATGATGAAACAAAATGATTAAGAACGCGCGCACGCACGCACACACACACACACACACACACACACACACACACACACACACACACACGGTGACACACATACACACATACACGCACAAATATAATATATATGTATATACATTTATTGATAAAAATCACAGCATGTTCCGCTTTGGTTAGCTTCTTATTTGATTTTTCGATTTTTCTAACGGTAGATCGTAAATCGTTGACAAGTTTCTTGAGTTCAAGACCAAACTTAAACCAAAATTAAGCATGATAGAACATTTAAGCATGAATGATAGAACAAAAAAGCTTTTTTCGGTATTCCTATACCATCTTCGGTGCTCTACAATTAGAAAAATTTAAAACTTAAACAGGGAGCTAGCTAAAGCAGGACATGCTGTGATTTTCATCAATAATTGCATTCTTCTCTTAATCCAATACATACATTTATATACATGCATATATGTATGTAGATAATATAAACATATACACATACATACACACACACATACCGTACCTCCATATCATATCAACATATATATACAAAACCATATATATATATATATATATATATATATATATATATATATATATATATATACATACTGAGAAGTCTGTCAAAACGTGTTACGATTGTTGTTGTAACTGTTCAGATAACACACATAATAATAATAATAATAATTATAATAATAACAATAGAAATAATTATATACATATATTAATGTGTAATACATTTTTATTAAAAAGCATTGTTGTTGTTGTCAAATGACAAAGAACGGAATAACGAGAATAATAATAATAATAATAAAAACCAAATATACAATGAAGTTATTGTTATTATTATTATTTTAAAAAATTGGTAAAATGGTAAAGGAATCTGTCCACAATGAGGTAGAATATTTTATATATATATATATATATATATATATATATATATATATATATATTATTAATTATTATTATTGTTATTTATTATTATTATTATTACCATTATTAAAAACAGGAGCGAGAAAAGAGCAATGAAGAAAATGATGATTACTAACTAACATTATATATACATACGTGTGTACATTGAAGGAACTTATTTTCGTTTTAACGCATCACGTGGAAAAAATGCAACAAACTAGCAAACGAACGAACGAACGAACGAAGTGAAAGAGAACAAACAAGGAAACAACAGTAACATCAACGATATCCATAATAACATCAACAATAATAAGATTGATAATATTTTAACGTTGTAACAACTAGATCAACAAAAATAATGACAGATAGTATCACGAACGAGCAAACGAACAAACGAACGAACAAAAACAAAATTTACTAACAAGATAACAACAACAAACAAGTAAGAAAAGTTAATATTAAATGTCAAGATAGAAAAAAAAACGAAAAAATAATTATATATACATTACACTTTCCCTCATGTTTATGTGGTTATGTTGTCTAGGAGTTATATGTTAAAAGTTATCTTACATATTAAACTGTGTGTCTACGAGTTTCGCTTTTTATATACATAGTCAGTAAATATGTCTCTCTCTCTCTCTTTCTCTTTCTCTCTCTCTCTCTCTTTCTATATACATATCTATCTACCTCTTGATCTTTCCTTCTCTCTCTTCTCTCTCTCTCTCTCACTTTCTATATACATATCTATGTACCTTTTGATCTTTCCTTCTCTCTTCTCTCTCTCTCTTTCTCTCTCTCTTTTTTTTTCTCTCTCTCTTTCTCTCTCTTTATCTCTCACACAAACACATAAACGCACATAACTGTAGACTGTATGAATAAATGAATAATTAGATGGATGAAAGATGGATGAATGGATGCTGGATTATTGAATGAATGAATGATTGAATGAATGGTTTAATGAATTATTGAATGAATGATTGAATGAGTGATTGAATGAATGATTGAATGATTGATTTACATATAAACGATAAAACAAACAAATTAACGAATGAACGAATGAAGTAATAACTCAATATTCCATGTTACATTAAAATAAAAGCTAAATAAATTAATGAGTGATTGATTGTTTGAAAGAAAGGATGAATAAACAAACGAATGAGTGAATAATGAATGAACGAATGAACGAACGAACAAAAAAACGAATGAACAAAGATAACGTATTGATCGAACGTATGATTAATCGAATGTAACATATCAACAATGCTATCAGTAGTGGTAAGCTTCCTTGATATAAAACAATAAAAAAACCAACAACAAAAATGTTAATAATAATAACAACAACAATTATAATTAATTATATAATTTAATTATAAATATTATTATAATTATGACGAAATCTCAACTCTCCTGTCTGGCATGCGGTAATATATTTTCTTACGCCAAGCGAATTTAATGAAAAAATTTACTCCTATATTCATTATACAAACACACACAAACGCACGCACACACACACGTAGACACACACACATACACACACACAGACCACATAACTGATATGATTATGAGGAAATCATATGACTGTATGTAACATTAGCTGACGATCAATATGACTTACTAATGAAAATAATGAAATGATAATGATAATTATTATTTTTATAACAAGTACTAATATAAATAAATAATTAACTGATCAATTAATGCCAGCGAGTTCAGCATTAACATCGCAACAACATATAACATATAAATAAACGAACGAACGAACGAACGAATGAACGAGCGAATGAATGAATGAATGTACGAATGAACGAATGAAAAAACGCCCGAGCAATAATCCGTTTTTCATCACCTAAACCGAAAAGTTAAAAATTAAAAAAGTACCATGAGTAAGAAACAATAACAACCAAGTTGTACGATGATGCCAGATACAATGATAAGGTAATAATGACCATGCAAATGATAACAATGATTATTCATTCTTATGATGATGAAATAAAATGCCCAATGTGATATATATATATACATATATATATATATGAAAATGTAGGTAGATAGTTGTATAGTGTCAATCGCCGTCCAGCCAATCACGAGTTAGCAAACGTAGGGCAGCACGTCTGATTGGTCAGAGTTCCTTGCGTGGATTCTGCATTTTTTTTGATGAGTGTGGCTCGGGGCATGCACCTCGACGTCCCCGTCACCTTCTTCTTCCTGTGACCTAGTTTTAGAAAAATATATTGGTGAGCGAGTGACCTAAATCATTACAGTAGTGGCGTGAGTCTAAAATTAGAAGGAGGAGTATGTAATGTGATCTATTTATAAACCGTTGAGATTTTTTTTATCTATTTATCCATACATTAATTTAAGAAAAATTTTTAAACAGCATTTCAACATCCAAACATCTAATCAAACATTTATCCATCCAATATCCATTTATTTCTTCAACCATTCGTTGATTCATTCATCCATCCATTCATTCATTCGTGCGTTCTTTCATTCATTTCAGCTACGATGGAAAAAATGAATGTTGTGACACTCACTCAATCCTTTACTCGATTTTTTTTATTGACACATTCATTCGTTTATTCATTCATCCATTCATTCATTCATTCATTCATCCATAAATTCATTCGTTTGTTCATTCATGCATGCATTCTTGCACCTACTAACCAGTCCTACTGTGAATGCACCATAGTGTTCCGACGAGTAGGGCGCCAATGCCGAAGGCCCCTATGGCTATCAACACTACAGTCGGTACGGCTATCGTACCTTCAATTCATCGAAAGTGAATGAATGAATAAATGAGTGAGTGAGTAAATGAATGAATGAATGAATGAATGAATGAATGAATGAATGAATGAATGAATGAATGAATGAATGAATGAATGAATGAATGAATGAATGAATGAATGAATGACAAAACTGAAAGGCAATTGAATGAGTTAATTGTGGAATGAATGGCAATGAATCAAACATTATTTAGGTGTATAAATTTAATCATCGCCATCGTCGTCGTTGTCACCAACATACCTTCATTACACTTTCCACCACCATCACCACTTTCGGCCAGTTGAACTTTCTCAGCAACTCCCCCACCATCATCACTACCATCACTGACGTCAGTGTGATGATGATGGTGAAGATGGTATTGATGATTATTTTTGTCACTCATACCACCAACACCACCATCATCGTCATCATTGTGATTCTGGACACTCGGATGATTGTGATTATGATTACTGGGATCGTTATCACCGTGATGGCTCCTTAAATTTTTGTAAGCATCATTAACGTCGTGCATGTCGTCCGCGGCATTCTTATTGATGTAGCCGTCGTCACTGAATTTGCCGTTGTTGTGGCTGTTGTGGCCGTTGTGGCTGTTAGTGGTAATGTTATTGCTGCTGTCGTTGATTTTTCTGCGTCTTGGGGTTTTCGGGGTGGTTGGAGGGGGCGGTCTAGGGGTCTCCTGGTTGCCGAGGAAGTGGAAAATGTAGTTCTCCTGTTGTGTGTGTGTGTGTGTGTGTGGTGTATGTGTTTATATGTATGTGTGCGTGTGTATCAGTCCAGTAATATGTATGTGTGTGTATAGGTAAGAGTTTTATGCTACTAATGAACGAATGAAGTGAAGGCTAACATAAATGTCAATCTCCTTAGTCTTCAAGTAGTCGAAAACTGCAGGTAGAAATATAATGAATTTAAATTAACGTTTGTAATGTTGCTTGGTCGGGATAGAGCAGTAGTAACCGGGTTCGAACGCAAGAATATCCCTGTTTGTGCGTGTGTGCGTGCGTGCGTGTGTGTCTGTGTGCATGTGTACGTGTGTGTGTGCGTGTCTGTGCGTGTGTGTGTGTGTGTGCGTGCGTAACAAATGTATTCACGTAATCTGCCTGTGTGTGTATTGTTGTTACTGTTGGTCGGTTCCTCTGAGAACTATTTAATAGATAAATAATAATAAGAAGAAAAAGAATAATAATAATAATAATTAAAATGGCCAACTCACCATCTACAACAACGAAAGGACCCATGGTAACATTTGTGGGAGGAGGAATTTCAACTTCTTCTTCTTCTTCTTCTTCCTCCTCGTTATTATTATTGTTATGGATGTCTGTATTATTCTTATGGTTATTATTATTATTGTTGTTGTTGTTGTTGTTGTCGATGACGTCATTACGATGATGGCCATTGTTGGCAATATCGCTGAAGAGTTTCGTCAACATTGGAGATCTGCATTTGTCCCTCAGCCCTCTGGCGCACTGCATGGATGGATGGATGGATGGATGGATGGATTATTATTGTGATATTTTGGTGGATAAAAGATTATTTCAATTCAATTCAATTCAATTCAATGGATGGATGGATGGTCGGTTGGTTATTCATTTATCTATATATTCCTTTTTCCTTATTTTTGTTCCTTCGTTCAGTCATTCAATCAATAATCATTCATTCATTAATTTATTCATTCATTAATTAATTCACTCATTAGTTAATTCCCTCGTGCATTCGTCCATTCCTTTATTCACTCATTCATAATTTTATATTCTTCATCCATTCAGCCCCACTAGAAAAAAAAACAACAAACCAACATCCCAAATACACTTCCGAATACACGACACCAGACTACACACCACACGACGCCACACGACACTACACGCACCTGTAGCAGACCAGGCACAGAGTCATGCCTGGATTTAACGCACATAGAGACAGTACACTTGACAACAGTGCTATTATTAGTAACGGAGAGGGGTCTGTAATTATACTGCAGCCCTTCTTCGAGCCACAAGTCGTCGTGGCGTTCGTTGGCCACACCAGCGTGAAACGATGTGAGGTAGTCGTTTAGATTTCTGTGGATTCGATCCTGAGTTAGGTACTCCCCTATTATGAAACCCTTGTGGTTGCTTACCCGCCACTTCCAAGCCAGCATGTCTTCGTCTAACATGCAGCTGTGTGTGTGTGTGTGTGTGTGTGTGTGTGTGTGTGTGTGTGTGTGTGTGTGTGTGTGTGTGTGTTGGGGTGGTGGTCATCATGAATTCACACGACTTGTCTGAAATATATTGACCAACGACACGAAAAAAAAATAAAGAAATAGGAAGGAAAAAAGTCTAACCCATCGCGCAATAGTTCAATTCTCGTGATGTTAGCATCCTCGCTATCACCGGCCGTTTCTGCCCAGCAGTTGTCGAATCTAGCTCTAACAAAGGGCTCCACCTTCACTTCTGTAGTAATAATTATAATAAAATAATATAATAATATAACGCAATAATAATAATTATTATTAATTTTATTATTATTTCATTATTTAATTTTCATTATTATTTATTTTAATATGTTATTGCAAACAACGAAGAAATAAACGAATGATGTGTGCTTCGGGCATATTTTGCGTGGCTAACGCTAAAATTAAGCTTATTTTTCTCTTTCTCTCTTAAGACCAAATTAGTAATAATAATAATAACAACAATAATAATAATAATAACAACAACAATAATAATAAATAAATAATAACAATAATAATAATAACAATAAAAAATACAATAATAATTTATTCACTCGATGTTATCCATGAAATTCAAATTGGATTATAATTCTTTAAATAAGTCTAAGGAGATAGCGAGCAAAACTGGGGGAGAGAGAGAGAGGGGGGGGAGGAGAGAGAGAGAATAAAGAAAGAGAAAAAGTGAGAATGAGAAACGTTGTGTAGGATGCTACAGTAACTGACATAATATAAATTAACAATATCATGTATATATATATATATATATATATATATATATATATATATATATATATATATATATATATACACATCAATGTGATAACATTAGGATGACGGCGATGATGATGATAGCGACAGGTATCTGATACATTGATGATAGATAAATAAATAATCCAACTGATTACATGATACTGAAAATGAGATGATACCATGCTAAAATTACTATGAAGGAGTCGGTGACAGAGGAAATCCTTTTTTTTTATGAACTTCCGAACGTGAAAAAAAAATATATGGACCTCGTAACTCGTTCACGACAAAAAAATTAAAAAATGAAAATTTTCAGCAAAAAAAAACAACAACAACAACAGACAACAACAACAACAATCAGCAAACTTATTCTAAGATCCGCTATCAAGAAGAGAATTTTGTCATTTTTGAGGTTGATGGGGTAGTTTGGGTAGGAGCCATCGTCCCTGTAGCCATAGGCCCTGTACGACACCTCGGTCTGAGGGGGCTGTATCACACGATCATCATCAAAACTATCGTCATCATTATCAACATTATCACCAACACCATAGTATTTATCAACATCTCATCATCATTATAACAGATGTTATAATTAGTAAATTGATCATCATCACTATCTTAATCATCATCATTAACATCATCGT